CTTCAAAAGTTAAAACAACACTTCATGGCCCAGCACTGTCAGGTGGTCCAGAATGATGCCATAGTTGGTACTGAAAAACACTGATGTTAGGGGAAAAAAGAGTCACATTTCCTCCATGCAGTTCCCAGCATAGGTCACACACCAAGGCGACCAAAGCAGTCTCAGACATACATCCTGTCTGAAAAATCTGACTGAATTGGGTATTAGTAATCAGCATCATCAGACTGAGCCTGGCCTATAGTTAAATCTCCTGGGTCAAGGATTTTCTTAAAGGTATTATTACTTACGCTTTTTCTTTCAAAAAATTCAACATGTTGTGTTTGCTTTCATGTTTTTATTAGTGTGGTTTTGTTGTTGTACTTAAGGTTTTATGGAGAACAAGAATAATGTCTCTACAAAGAAATTTTAGGAATCTGGACTCATCAGCCCTCCTCCACTCGAGAAACAGTTTGGAGCTTTCTAAGTGTAACTGGAAAAAAGGGTTCTAGGACAGCAAATTTATCACAAAAAATGAGAGGACCTTTGAATCTGTTTTGTTTCTGCTAGGTAACAAGCCTTGTACTTTGACATTAAGAAGAGAAGGGTACAGCATTGTTTCACATGCTTTTCCTCTCTCAGTCTGGGGTATAGCACTGCTAGTCCTGGAACAGTGCTATTATAGCTCCAGCACCAGTTCTTGTGGACTTGTTGCAAGTATGTTTGAAAAAGCTTTCAGCAGCAGAAAAGGCCAAACAGGATGTTATATTAACACATTAATAGTGTAATCCTACATTTGCCAAGATAACAGGAATATGGGAGGCATACAGGAGAGGTTTGTTGAAAACAGGGTACTTGTTCTTTTGTATAGCTGCTAGTCTTACTCTGCAAATGCCCTCCCAGGATATTCCACCCAGTCAACTGGCCTCACCAGTTAACCAGCCAGGGAGGCCTTTAACCTTGCAATGAAATTATGAGGGAAAATGTGTTTATGTTGTGTAGCAAAGGCCAAATCCTATGGATCTGCTGTATATTTGGAACCACTGGGCCATTGACTAACCATCTGTCCCTGCTGGCACCAGTTCCAGCACAGAGACTGACCACTTTTCCTTTGCTGCTTGCACAGAGGCCCTCCCAGCTTAGGACTCACAGCAGCAGGAAAAGAGGGTTGCATACAAGTGGCAGCAGGGTGCCCCACTCTAATGCCTCTGGGCTCTCACAAGATCTCAGCGCATGGTCAAGACATTTACAAAGTATTGGACATTGCTGAGATCTCATGAGAGCCCTAAGCCCTGCAACAACAGGGCTAGCAGGTGCTTGGAACAGCCTCACTGGGTGCTTTATAACTTCAGTAAGTACTAAGCGGGACGCTCTTGAGCTGCAGCTGGGGTGGGGCATGGGAATGGCACAACCCAGTGCTTTTCCAGGTCCATGCCTCATGTGGGGACTTCACCATGCTGTTTGAATGAGCAAGCATTGCTCAGTCTCCTTGTGATTGCTGCCACATTCACCAAAACTTACATGATTGTAGTTGGTAGAAGCAGTAGCAGCAACAAGGGCAGACAGATGTTATAGGGTTTTAGAGTCTTAATCAAAACAGCAATAGTCACTTCCCAAGTGCCAAGATCACTGAGAATTATGAAAAGTATATTTCTCATGAGTCTTAAGAATAGCACTGCTGTTGGAGGGCAATAGCAGCCCTTTTAATCACTGCTACCAGTTCATATTGTGTTCAAAGGCCCAGTACTTTTAGAAATAAGAATCAGGATTTACATCAAGCTTAGAAGCTGCACAGTCGATTTTATTTATTTATTTAGGATATTTATATGCCGTCCTATTGCAAAAGCCTCAGGATGGCTTACATAAATAGAATATAAATATCAGCATAAATAAATTATCAACCCACTCTGGCTGCAGTTAAACTATAATAGTAAAAAATACAATATTAAAACTTATTAAAATATTGATGAAATAAAAAGGTCTTAACCTGGCGCCGAAAAAATATACTGACGGCGCCAGGCGGACCTCTCTGGGGAGCGCATTCCATAGTTGGGGCGCCACCACAGAAAAGGCCCTCCTCTGGGTGCTCTGCCTCCTAATATCTTTCACAGAGGGTTCCCGGAGGAGGGCTTCTGCTGCCGATCTCAGTGGGCGGAAGGGCAAATAGGGAAGAAGGCATTCCTTTAGGTATCCAGGTCCCAAGCCGTTTAGGGCTTTATACATAATAACCAGCACCTTGAATTGAGCCCAGACTTCGATGGGAAGCCAGCGGAGCTGATAGAGGGCTGGGATTATATGAGAATAATGCTCAGTCCCCGTCAGCATCCTGGCAGCTCTGTTTTGCACCATCTGAAGTATCCGGACTGTCTTCAAGGGCAGCCCCACATAAAGCGTGTTACAAAAATCCAACCGGGAAGTAACCAATGCATGTGTCACTGTTGCTAGGCAATCTTCCTCCAGGTAGGGACGCAGCTGATGGATTAGCTGAAGCTGAACGAAGGTGTTCCTCGCCACCGCAGTCACTTGAGCTTCCAAGGACAGCTCCGGGTTGAGGAGCACTCCCAAGCTGCAGACCCTGTCCTTTAGAGGGAGTGCAACCCCATCCAGGACAAGGCCCAAGTCACTTACCCAGGAGCTTGAATCACCCACCAACAGGACCTCCTTCTTATCTGGATTGAGCTTCAGTTTATTGGCCCTCATCCAGCACATTACCTCAGCCAGGCACCGGTTCAATACAGCCACTGCCTCACCTGGGTTAGTTGAAAAGGAGAGGTAGAGCTGGGTGTCATCCTGAAGCTGTAAAGTTGATTTTATAGTTCCTTTCTTAAATACAGCCACAGGCAGATTAGCCCTTGCCTTACCAGTCTAGTATGACTTGCAACCTGAACTTAACTATACTTAGCCCAGGACATCTTGAAATCCTTGCAGTCCACGAACATCACAACTAAGTTCAGCAAAAAAAGACAAAGAAGTGACTAAGGTTTCAGGAAGGGATTGTGGGTGCAAGGTCAAGTTAGCAGGCAATGAGTTCAAACATAACAAAATGATTATTTATTTCATTTCCATACTGCCCCAGAGCCAAAGCTCTCTGAGTGGTTTCCAAAGCTCTCTGGGCAGTTTACAGAGCTCTCTCTGGGTAGAAATGTTTGCACATGGCTTGTAATAAACTCGGAAATTCAAAATTAAAAAAAACATATTCTAGATACCCCAATTCTGGACTGGAGGCTTCAATTAGTCATGATGTAACTTAGTATAGTGTCATTTTTTATCTATCAAGTACTGCTGTTACTTTTTCTTCCATAAGCTCCTCTTCACTTTTAAAGCAAAGTAATTTTTCTTGCAATAGTTCTAAAAGAGACCCTTCTCTCTATTTTTGTGATGCTGTGTTTCTGCCTCTATTAAAAGTTTGTGCCTTGAGGCCTGCCAGCAGGGCTTACAATGCCTATATTAAACCAAATTTAAGAGTAAGGGTGCTCCTGCTGCTAACATTCTCAGATCACAGACGTGCAAAATGAAGGAACTGGCAGCTGTAACTTTAATGGTGGAAAGTGTAAGCTGAGTACGTGGAGAAAAGAACATAGTGCTCTATATGACAAAAAAAGTCTTATTAGCATTTATGAACTTCAAAATGACAAGCTAGACTGCTCTGTCTTGTGGCTTTTTTTGTACTGCTTAAAAGAAATAAAGCATGTATTCATATTTTTAATCCAGTTAAACTGTATTAAATTGCTATCATACTGTGATGATAACACTTTAATAATATGACAGTAGTGTATTAATTAAGTTATTAATGTATGCAAGTCAATTTCATTATAAATAATTTGGGTTATTATATTGGTTAATAAAAGTATTTAAACGTATAATCTTATTGATTGTGCTTCTCACAAAAAGCTCCATTCTCAGGGTCCTCTGTCTTTTGTGCGCTCTTCTGGCAGGAATCAAACCAAGTAAGAACAACAACAGAGGTAATTTGGCCTTCCCAGCCCATCCTGCCCCCAGAATAAATTATTTTTGAACATGTATAACTTACTTATTAGCATCAGGCAAGAAGAATGACATAGAGGTTGCAGGATCCTTTGCAGGCTAAACTCTTCGTTTTCCATCCATGGGAACATCCCCTTTCCTCCCTCTCTGAGCTCCCTCAGGGTTGATGCTCTGATAACAGAAAAGAGGTCACTGTGCAATGTTCCACAACTGCTGCAATGGGGATGGGGAAGGCTCTGATCTTAGATGTCTTTCCTGAGGTCATAACAGCATCTGTACCTTGGGATTCTGACAACTGCTACGGTTCCTGGCATGTTCTTCCAAGAATCATAGGATATTGCCAATCTAGTTTCTCATGTAAGTGTTCACTTATCAGAAGTATAGTGGAAATTCAGAATCACAATTAAATTCTTACAAATATTTATTATGGAAGAAAAAGTTTGTTATCCTTTACCATTCATTATAATTGCTGTAAAAAGCATGTCTGCAACATCTGGTAGTATTATTGCCAAGTTTTGGTTATACACTTGAATGTATTTATTTCCCATAATTTTTTCATGTCTATGTTATCACATCTTGGTATTCTGTTCCAAGCATTATTTGTGAACACAGAGAATAAAACCAGATGAAATGTTTCTGAAATCTCTCTCTCTCTCCCTCTCTCTCTCTCTCTCTCTCTCTCTCTCTCTCACTATTTCTCTCATAGATAAATCTATTCTGTGCTCTTAGTATTCTTAGAATTTTATAAACAGCTATAACATGCTTTTGGAGTAAGATCTCAGCAATTCTTTGTTACTCAAGGGCTAATTGATTTCAAATTGGCATATGCTAAGTTGGCTTTCTTTGTACTACTTTCTTTGTACTACAAGTAACCTTGTGAAGGTTACTACAATGTAATGAGTAACCTTCAGAAGGATTGCAAGTGTAGCTAGCATCTTGGTGCTGCCAAACCTTGAATGACATGCAAATTCTAGTCACAATGTAAGAAAAGTGAAAAGTTTATTGTTTGATATTGTTTCTATTTATTTATTTAGTACAAAATGAGTCTGTTTCCTCCTGTGCCAGTGCAAAGTCCCAAGGCACATCCAAGTATGGAAGAGATGATATGCCCTCCATCAAATCTTGCAAGGTGGGTGTGTTACATATTTATTTTGTTTCATTTGACTGATATATTTGATTCTGGCTCTTTAAGGCTGAAAGCCTGAAGGAACAAGTTATAGACCAATAAATAAGCTAAACAAGAATCAGAATTTTGCAGTTCATGATTAAAAAATCAAAGGAGGAACTCCTAAAATTCAAAAAAGGAGGCTGATTTTGTAAATTGTTGGGAAAAATATGAGTAATGAACATCCCAGGTTGTATGGATCCAATTTGCATTTTCTGTTGATTAGGGTAGCTATTCCAAGAATGAGATTCATATTCTATTGTCCTCATATCATTTGTCTGGGGATTAGCTTTTTTCTGAGGTACACTGTGTATCAACTTAATGTGAGACTTGAGAGTTTTTCTAAACATTATACTAAGTTGTATATAAGTATTATAGGTATGCTTATTTACTGTGCTATTAAGTTTTGCTAATATATTACATTACAGAGAGGCTTCCTTTTTAATTCCTGACTTAAAAAAGAAAAGAAAAGATGACTTGTTGGTGCTCTTTGAAGTAATATAAAGAAAATGCAAACCTTGCCCAGAGAATATGGGAAATTGAATTATTCATAATTATATTATAGAAATACAAACCATTTTGAATTTTGAGAATATTAAGAATACTTTTCTATCTTAATTTGAAATTTATAAGTAATCCTTGATATATACTAACTTTCATGCTTTTATCACAGAATTTACTTTTTTTTCTTTTGCTAAGATACAGTATTATATGTTTAGTTTTGTCAGATTATTTAAAATAGTAAATATTTAAGGGAAGAATATCTTCCATTGCAAAGACAGTTGTGCATAATGGATAAAAAGGGAACAAATGCAAAATGCTTTGGTTTGTTATTGTTTTAGCACAGAGTGATAAAATCTAAAGTGGCATTCTTTTTAAAATGAGAATTCTTATAAATATTACTGATAAAATCTGACTTTAAAAAAAGAGAGAGAAAGAAGGCAAGAAGGAGAAGAAGAGAGCAGTCTAGGGGCTATTGGCTGCGGTGTACTTCACTCTCTGGGAGAAGAGAGGGAGGTCCATCTTGGAGTAATGCAGCCCAAAGTTCTGCTTTTGTTACCCTATCATTGGTAGTGCTAGATGATTGTTAAGATCAGAATTGTATCATTCTGGCTTCATGTTGGGGTAGTTTTGCATCCAGTGGATACAATGCCCTCTTGTTACTGTGAAATGCCTCTGCACAGCTGAAAACATATCCTACCTCTAGGGCTAGCTTACATTCGTTCTCAATAGTGTTAGCGAGAACACAAAATATGAAAAGGCCAAAGTGGTAGTGGGAAAGATCTGGAAAATCAGAAGCTTCCCCAATCCACCACGTGCACTTTCCCTAACTGTGTGGGTTGGTAGGTCTTAAAAAAGTAGTATTTCCTTTTATTCTTACTCCACACCCCCTAGGATGCAGAGTAGCCCATGTATCTTGCCTAAGGTAATACTGGGCAGCACCCAACATGGCATGAGTGGTAATGCGGTATAGCCTAAGGACCTCTAGAATATGGGACCTCTAGCAGAATGCCTATAGTATTAGAACGTACAACAGGTTTTTGGAGGAAACCAATGAGCTAGCTAATGCTATTGGCACTGAGCTAGATGCCCCCAGTGATAGAGGTCCCTTATGCTACTGCAGTGTAATTAGAGCTTATGTCACATCAGATTCTACCCATTGAAACTATGCCTTGATCAATTCAAGAAATGCACATTTATGATCATCTCACTTAAGAGGCATTGAAGACACATTTACTTCCAAATCCTTACAAAATATCAGTTGCCTAACAAAGTTTCTTATATGAACATTGAATGTGAAAGCCTTGAACTACAGGAACTTTCTGCTAAAGCCAGGTGTACTTTTCTACAAAGAATAAAGTTCTGAAATAGCTACAGACCAAATCCTTACCATTATACTTGTACATGTTTGTAGTATGTGTTTGATAAAATACTTTGTCAATATTTTAATATATATCTGTCTTTGCTTGGCAAAGACTAATACATAATATATAGAGCAGGTTTGACGTTAAGTCACCTCACAGTGTTCTTTAATTTTTTAATTTAAATTTAGGATGCATTTGATCAAAGGAAAAGATGCCATAGATCGTTATTTGGCCATGCATATCAAAGGCCTGTCAAAACAAGAGGCTGCTGCGTAAGTAAGGTCTTTCTGAAGCATTTTTATACAGCAAGTTTATTGTTTTCTTTGTTTCTAGCCTTCTTCATTGAAATCTAAAGTTCCCCAGGCAATTTTCTGAGGAACATGGCATTTAAAAATTAAAACTGATATTAAATAATTATGTTTCACTGCTACTTATCTTGCATATATCAAAGCATTTAGTTCAATGCCTGCGTTAATTCACTGATTTACCAAAGCATTAGCACATTTGTAGCATTTAATTGTTTGTCAGTAATTAAAACTATTTTTGTCGCTTTGTTTTTTTCAAACTTCTCACTTAAGGCTGAAATTTTGTTTCCAAAATACTAGTGTGGTTGCAGCTCCAATACACACTGATTCTTTGAAACCTACTATCCAAAAACAGCTTAGGAGAACTGTCATTTCACATAAAAATGACACAATGGAATTACTACTTTTCTATATACTATTTTAAAAAGATTTGTATGCACAGTAACATGGTGTTGACCTTTTCATAAACCTTTGTCTTTTTTGGCTTTGTCTTTGAAATTAATATAGTCACAGTTTTTGTTTGGGAATTGCTATAAAAGGAGTATCTCAATGCAAAACAAAAAAATTGTTTCTTTATAATTGGAGCAGTTATTCCCTGATATTTTCCTCTCTCCCCTTATGCATGTTTTTCAGTGTATTTAACAGTATCTTCTTCCTTACTGTGCAGGTCTGTTCAACTAAGTATTTAGTATTTTTGTAATTAAAACCAGTCACATTTTTAAAGGCTTTTATTCAAAGCAAGGCACATTTCCAAAAGGCACTAGTGTTGAGGTAACCAAGATATAAACTCATTCTGAAAGTCCATTTATTTGGCTGGATTTCTTGGTGTTTGTCATTTGTTTAGAATCTGTTATCTGAAATCTGATACTGCAGCCTTAACTCTTGTATCTTTGGTCTCTGGAGAAGGTAGCTTCATTGGGCCCATCAATACACTATGGAACTATGACCCTTTGTCATTCTCCTGTTCTCTTTTCTGGAAAGGAAACCTCTGGCACACTTCCACATGATTCTCTTTGAATGTGCTCCTGATCAGATAGCAGTGGAATGCACAGGGCGTAGAATCTCTGTCCTACAGGGGAGGGGAATCCCGTGAAAACATTTGCTGATGGACCACTAAGTCTTCAGCCACATTTAGTTACCTGAGTGTAAGGCCAAATGCATTCCGTATGACTTATTTCGTAAATATTTAATGGGATGGCATTGTAAACTGCACGGAAGTGCAGAACAAACTCTAGAACATGCAGTACCTCCCCCTTATACTTTTTATTGTTTTGGGGCTATGGCAAATTCAAAAATTCAGGCTGGGATCCAGTAGAATGCTGTTCAAGCACTGCTTTTACTGAAGTGGAATTGCAAGTCAATTGAAATACAGCATTGGATACTATTGTTTGAAAAGCACAGTTTCAAAGTTTCCATGTGCAAAGTTGTGCTGTCCTTTTAAGCCTAGGCAAAACAAAGGTTTGCCAAATATTTTGAGCATTACAAGTTTAAAAGTGTTGATAAATAGGTTAAATTAGGTTTAAAAAGGTTAGATTAGGTTAATTAAATAGGTTTCCTATAGGTTAAATTATAGGAAAAATAGGTCAGTGTTATGTTCTTTTAGTTAGAACAAAAGAAGACATGTTTATGTAAAATTTCAGATCACTCATCCTGATTCCTTAAAAATATTTCACAATTTAAAATGTGCTATACAGATACAGAAAAAGCAAAAAAATAAAGGATGTTGATGCCCAGGAAAAAGGAATTCTTAATTAAATGAAATTAATTTTAAGGATACTCAGTTCTCCAGACGGTGCCCATAAGTACATATAACCAGGTGGTACAGGGGTGTTGGGGGGGGTGGCGGTGGGGGTGGGGATATCTGCTGAAGCTTCCTTTGTGGAAGAGTCCTGAAAATTTTGACTAGAAGAAGAATGGACGAATGCTAATATCCAGGTAAATGCAATTCAGCATATGGGCAGGAACCTATCACACTCTTCCTATGAAAGAAGACAGGGGAAGTGACAGATGAAGGGCTAATGTTGTCCCTATCTTCAAGTAAGGAAAAAAAGAAGAGCCTGAGAACTACAGATCAGTCAGTCTGACATCAATCTCTGGGAAAATTCTGGAGCAAATGATAAAGTAGTCAGTCTGCTAACACCTTGAAAGCCATGCAGTGACTATGGGAATCCAACATGGATTTCTAAAGAACAAATCCTGCCAGACTAATCTGATTTCATGTTTTGGTTGGATAACCTTCCTGATGGATTGCAAGAATGCTGTGGACATACTATATCTTGACTTTAGCAAGGTTTTGACAAAGTGGTCCATGATATCCTGATTTAGCAGACTAGCTAAAAGTTGGCTAGATAGAACAATGATCAGGTGGATGCACAGTTGGCTACAGAATTGGACTCAGAGTGGTCATCAATTGTACCTTCTCAAACCAGGGAGAAGGAACAAGTGGGGTACTCCAGGGTTCAGTCCTGGGCACAGTTCTCTTCAAAATTTTAATTAATGTCTTGGATGTATTGGATGAGGAAATGCAAGAAATTATTACTGAATGTGGAGATGTCACAAAACTGAGCAGGATAATAATTACACAGGAAGACAGAAAGAAGATTCAAGGTGATCTTGATAGGTTGCAGTACTGGGCTCAAAACAACATAATGAATTTAGTAGCGACAAATGGCCAGTTCTGCACATAGGAAAAAGAAAGCCAATGCATTGTTACAATATGGGGAATACTTGGCTTAACAATTCCTCAAGTGAGATGGATATTGGAATTGTTGTAGATCACAAGCTGAATCTGACTTAATAATGGAATGCAGTTGTAAAAAGGGCTAATGCTATTTTAGGTTGCATTAATAGAAGTATCACTTCCAAATCTTGTAAAGTACTAGTTCTCCTCTATTCAGCACTGGTTAGGCCTCATCTGGAGTACTGTGTCAGCTCTGGGCACCACAGTCTACGATGGAGACAAGCTAGAAAGGGTTCAGAGGAGGGCAACAAGGATGATCCAGGAACTGGAAACAAAGCCTTGTGAGGATAGATTGAAAGAACTGGGCATGTTTAGCCTTGAGAAAAGAAGACTGAGGAGGGATATGATAGCACTCTACAACTACTTGAAGGGCTGTCACAAAGGAGAAGGACAAGATCTTTTCTCAGTCATACCAGAGTGTAGGGCACAGAATAATGGGCTCAAATTACAGGAAGCTAGATTCTGGCTAGATATCAGGAAAAATTTCCTAACTGTTAGAGCAGTACAACAATGGAATCAATTACCCTGGGAGGTTGTAGGCTCTCCCACGCCAGAGGTGTCCAAGATACAACAGGACAACCGTCTGAGAGGAATGGGTTAACCCGATGTCCTTCACTGAACAAGGAGATTGAACCCAATGGCCTTCTGGCCCCTTCCAACTCTAGTATTCTATGATTCTATGATAGAAAAAACAAATTATAATAAAAATCAAGTGTAACCTGAAAAGAATGTTATAGCAAGGAGTGTTCCTGTTTAGTGTGCTTGCTGTCCAGCCAGCCATTTCTTTTACCAGCATAAACCATTCTACAATGTCTTCACTGTGTTTTTCCATTTCTCTCTTCCATTGTTAGTCAGCATCATGTGGTCACTGAGCATTCCCAGTCTTAATTAGGCAGTTATTTTCTCTGGGCTGATTCCCCGCTGCCCTTAAGCTTTTGTACTTCTGCAAACTTTGGAGTTCATCTACTTCTGCTGATATCACCATCTTGTACATGTATTGTTCCATTTTGTTTACACAAGAATACATACTTGATGATAAAATTGCTATTGTTACACAGGATCTTTTTTTTAAAGAAAACATTCACAACTTCTTTTCCTTGCTGAAGGGGTTCTGTCCAGGAAAAGAGCTATGCAAACTATACACAGTATTGTAAGGCACATTTTAAAATTTGTGCTATAATATTATGTAAATATACCTTTTTCAGTCAAAATATTTCCTAATAATGTTGCTTGGTGTGACCAAAATTCTGTGTTCTTATTGAACAGCATTCTTTCTGAGTTACATTATCTTCAAAAGAGAGAAGGGGAGAGGTTTTTTATTCAAATCATTGGGTTCTCTTCACTTCTGTTTGGTTTGATATACATATCAGTGTAATTAAAGAAAGACAAAAGAATGGGAATGTGTAAAAAATGAATAGTTTACCTTCCATGAAAAAGCTATAGTATACATTTGTGTAATATGGAAGACTTCTCTTGAAAATGCTAAAAAGTTATAATCAACTTTTGTACATTATGTAGAAGTTCCATTTTCTAAACTCTGCAAAAGAAAGTTTCATATTTAATGGGAAATCATGAATAATTCCATTTATTATCTACTTCCTCCTTTCAAAGACATGATCTGGATAAAAGGCGGGGTGAATAATTTCAAAAAAATACAATACATTTTTAATGGGAAGGTGCAAACTACAGATTCTCATGACTATTAGCAAGTGTAGAGGAAACAGAATTTTACTTGCAAAAACTCATCAGATTCTTGCAAAGATAAAATACAAGACATACTTTAATAAAGAAGTCCATTGAACTGAAGTTTTACTTCTTTATGTAACTTGTTGTTTTTGCTAAGTTTAGTCCTATGTTTTCCAAAGCTTTCATTTTTCAATAGTTCAACAATATTAAGTAGGGAATATAGACTATAAGTAAACAACTGTGCCCTATCTAAAGTATACAAAATGCTACTTTGGAAATATTAAGTGTTTAAAATGATAAAAGTGCAAGTGGGAATTTGATAGTCCTGGCACTTAGCAGACTGAATCTTCTGGACTGTATATACATCTTCAGCTTTTTAATTTTACTACAAACTTCTTCAGGCTGATTTTTTTGTTTCTCTTGAGAATTTGGAAATTATAAAATGAAAACAACACAGAAACTTTGATATGCTGTATATTGTAGTACCTCATGTTTTTCTTCTGATGTTCCACTTTTATTGTAGAGGAGGCCAGTAGTCAAC